CTGGCTCAAAGTCATGATTATAAGGGTCGTAAGTCATAGAGTGGTGGCAGACGGGAAAACTGGGCGGGTATTTCATCATCTCACCCCATTTCAGTGAAATGGAGATTTTGGGACTCGAACTGCCAATGCCAATGTGATCAGGATACGTGATCATGCGCGCGGATGGGAATATCTTTGTCACCATTATCCGCATCGCCTGGCGCCGCAAACGAATTCGTTTCTTGCCTGGCCTCGGGATTCTGCTTTTCAGCAGCAAGCGCAGCAAAAGTGCTGAAAATGCTCCGAATGTTACCATCTCTCTCCTTTACATGTGACTCGAAAATAGTGGTTTTCGGCGGTGGCTTGGACCGAACCGAATAGACAATTCGGTAATGCAAGGCCTCGAGTTCACTTTTGGCCACTGTCCGTGTCACATGTGAGGCCCCGGAATCCTGAATAGAACAAAATATCATTTTGATCTGAGCTGCCAGCCTGTCGATGGCAGCGTCATAGTCTTTCTCGGGTTGAGTACTGCTGAAATTCAACGCTAGCGCAGACGAATCAATCGCGACGTTGAGAAGAGCAGTGAGTGAAATTAATTCCCTCCAGTCGTAGTCGGCTATGCCTTTGAACCGCCTAACTTGGAAACGCTCATCCCGTAGCAGTAACAGTGTAATACGTTTGATATCAAGCAACTTTCCAGGGGGTTCGGTGAGAGGACCGGGACTCCGTAGTAAAAATGCAACGGCCAGGCGACATCGTATCAGTGCAAACCATGGAGATGTGGGTAGGATATGATGCACAACTTGACTTTGGATGCAAACATCGTGTATCGTGGCGTGGAAAGTGGCGCAAACTCGACGCAACTGGTATCGTTGGCTTTGAACGTGGTACAACATATAGGAGATTACTTACCGAATCTTGGGCACTGGTTTCATAGAAATTCTCAGGATCCAACACAGCATTTATGGTCCACTGAAGCTCCGACGATGCCGTAGAATCCGCTGTTAACGAAACATCAAGAGTAAGACGTAGCAGTAGGAGCACCACTTGCTCTTGGGTGTCTTCTGCGAATCTACAATTTTGTAAGCCTTACATTGTCGCGGTTTTGAGGGAGTGGAAACTCACAAGCCAGCAGTTTCTCTAAGTAATCTCAGGACTGAAACGAAGGTTGCATGGTCTTTCAACGCAGAATCTGGAGTAATATCTGACAGTGTTTATTAGCAGGATCCAGAGCCAGAGGCAATATAGTCAAATCATACATTGGGAAGGAATTGGGATAATCTCCTTGGAAGGATCTAAAGCCTGGCTCCGAGCACCTAGTCGTGAGAAAAGGTCATTGATATCGGCCGGACGGATGAGCAACTTTAGGCGGTCCTGATCCATATTCTTATATATTCAGTTAGTTAATACCAATGGGGGTTTTATATAAGAGCATCTACAAACCTTAATAATTCGGTAATAGGCATTGCTCAATTCCTCTCGGCGTTCATAGGGTACTGAAAGGCATGTTAGCTTGACAGTAATAAGCAAAGCATGGTATGAGACGAACTGGAACGAAACATCCACAAAACGAATTCGTCCGGCAAAAGCCCTTTGGACAAAGCCATCTGAATAAATTCGCCTGACATGAACTGGCGCTCGCGAGTATCAGATTCTACAATTGGTCAGCATGGAAAGAAGCAGCGAACGACTCATTTAAAGCTCACCCCTTAATATATCCATACTCGTCCCAGGTGCGATCAGATCACTTGGAAATTGGGGGGCTGACGGCAATGTCTGTGTGCAATCAAAAAATGGCCAGGCGCGGCCGGGGTCAAGAGCATCAGTTCTTCTAATAGCACCTATCAGACGTTGACCTCCAACACCGTCTTCATTCTCGCCAAGAGCAGAGATCAACATGGTTTCATTCAGAGCGGTGCCGGACGAGCCGTTTCCGTGCTCCATGCCGTTCGGTTGCTTCTGCACATAATTGGCTCTCGCCCGAGCTACGCTGGCTTCGACTTCATTATCATCCACTGCATCATGAACTAGAGAGTCAATGTTGTGTTTGTATTTCTTTGGCGATGATATCCTCTGAGTGAATTTGGCCGGTGTGAACAGGTCCTTGGACGTTGGAGCGAAAAGATTCTTTGGGTCCTCCAACGAGCATATCGAGTCTGTGTCTTCTCCATCCGAGCTGATGACTACCTCTCTGCCATCCTTGATGATGCGCTGAGATCCGTTGATGCTCTTATTCAGAGATGAAACCCCGGTAACTGAATCGATACTTTGGAAACTTTGATGCAATGTAGGGGACTGAAGGAGGGTGTCCTGAGTTGACAGATACAGTGCCGCATTTAGGTGGGCCTCAGCATCTTGTTCGGATTGTGGTAACATTTGATCAAATACAAAGGAAGAGGGGGGGTCGGAGGATTCGGTCGCGAGTTCAGCGCTTCCATGCATCTGAGGGGTACTCTTCGTCTCAGGTGTGCTGTTCGAGTTGACATGAGCGAATGTAGGTCTATTATGCCATAACTCTTTTATGGTCCGCATGATGAGTGAGTGATGTTGAGTGTTCTCGTTAAAAAAAACCAAGAGCCATATCGCGTCGAACGCGCCGATTTGGCGCGATGTCAGCCGTGGACAATGAGATGCTGACTCATCGGTCTTTCTTTGTTCCTGACCTTGTTGCTCAGGTGGAACCTGGACGGGGCGATTTTTAACCTTCGGAACGCTAACCATCCAATCCCACTCTTTAAGACTAATTGAACTCATATCGAGGTCAAATTGATATTGAACTGACCTGTGTGCATTGGGAGTACATACCTTGAACTGTCGAAAACATACTTGGTATGTTTGTTATCGTATTGTAGATTGTAGATCTGGTAGCCACATCCCTAGTGGCGGCGATCTGCGGTTGATCTGGTCTACTATCGATTACTACTGATCTCGTTTGATCGACATCAAACTTGCGATGGAAATGGCCGATTCTTTCTGATACATATTTTTACTGTGTCAGTCTACGGAGTAACGGGTAGGGAAAATGACACTCCAATTAGCCTTTATCTAAAGCGACGATACGCTAAACACCGGGTCCCACTACTATAGTTCGTGGTCGACCGGGTGACGACCCTGAAATGTATGTCGTATGCCGTATCAGCACGCCATTCAAACGTTGCACTACTGTACAGAGTACTGCATCTGCTTTTGCTTTTAGACCCTTGCCTCGAGATCTGTTTTCGAAGCTTTTAGAGTAACACACCCGTGATACGTGGGTATTTGGTAGGGCTATCAGAAAAGGGGAACACGAGTCCCGGGCAATCCGAACCCTTGTTTTACGAGGACGCCGATCATCGAGCCTGTTCAGGAGTATTCTCCTGAAGCCAAGGGTTTTCTTTTTTTCTAATTTTTTGCCAAGAAACAAGAAGGGATGCATACGGTAACATAAAAAAAATAAAAGAACGGGTCCAATGATGGTTTGACCCATATGCATAACAGTCTTGGGAATTTGGCAGATACTAACCGAAAACATATCAGAGTGAAGGAAAAAAATAAGAAAGCTGACTCAGGTGGACCGGGAAGCTCGTGCCGTGTCGGTTTCAGGATCGATGCTCCGACCCCGAATTCTGGGTCTCTGATATCATTAGGGGAGGCGTGGGAAGAAAAAAAAAAAAAAGGGAAATCCATGGTCACAATACTGTCCGATTCTGATATAGATCGATTACATGGACACTGCCACGACAGAAAATTCGCCTTAGTAAGAATATCGATGCGTCCCGAGGTACCCTGTACCCTACAACTTCTAGGAAAACCTGCAACGACGCAAGAAAAGGCCAGTTGTTAAATTAATACTTCATAGTGGGGTGAAGAAAACAACCGCGGTGGGCCAATAATAACCGTTACTCCAGAGTTTGCATACGGATCAAACGGATATGTACGGAGTACGGAGCAACTTTCATAGTGAAGAACTGGGGAGAATACTCCGTACCCGCGGTAGGTAATCCCTCGTTAAGCCTAGTTGTAAGCGATCATAATGCTGACGGTGGCAGTGCCGCGATGCGCACTAGTGAAAAGAGGCCGAAATAAACACGAATCCACCAATGTCTCTTAGCGATTAAATATCAATACTATGTACCCCGTAACTATATCAATATCTCGTCCCATAGTTCAAGTGCCGAGTACCCCGATTGCCACAGTCAGAAATTTAGCAGGGAGAGGTCGGAACGGGGCTGGACATTATAATTACCGGACTTTACATGTATTGTCCCTTGAGTCCGAGATTATATACATGGCTACCTACCTTGAGTCTCGGTGATTGTGCAGTCATGCTGGCTCCCACACGAACGAAGATGCCTAAAGGGGCCGAGAACAAGAGAAAGAGGCAGTGTAAAAGAGACGCAAGACATACCATACCAAATTATACCAATAGAACAGTCGACGCGTGTAAAAACCTCCTGCCAAGCCCGCTTTGAATGACAAAGCAGAGGTATCTTCCTTGGAAGGTTGGCCCGGCCCCATCGGTAAGCACCCACGGACGGGTGGTAACGAGATTACATACTCTCCCGTACTGAGATCCATACGAGGGTAAGCTCAGGTGGCTACTCTATCTTTCTCCCACCCCTCGAAGCACAAAATAACTACTTTGGTGCTTCTTCTCTTTCTTTCTTTTTCACTTCAGTATTTTGAATGGCCCCTTGTGGGTGCGCCCTATAACCCTTCGGCTGTCGCATTGCAATCATATTCCATCACGATCAGCCGCGGAAACCCTGTTTTGAATAGTTTTGGACGATTCCTCGAAACTGGTCGACAACAACATCTTCGACACGCGCACATAGAACCCCTGATTTTCTCGAGACTTATATCGCCTATGACCTTGCGTTTCCATCGTCCTCAACCCCTGTGAACGCACTCAGACCGACAATCTTTCTCTGCGCCGAGCGCTGTCGGATTCCGGCCCTTCAAACCGGATGCTAGCCAGCTACCAATAATCAAGGTTTCTATCGAGTTTTATGCCCTTCTTGGGCGCACCAATAGCCTAGATGGCTTCCGCGCGCTTCCCTGGAGACAATGGAGAGGATGAAGAGGACAACAACGAGCAAGGTGCTGATATCGGGGAGGTCAACAGCCACGTCTCCAAGCCGACTAAACGACAAAGATGGGCTACCACACGAGCGCCCGGACATGGTGGCGTCAAGAAACGTGTTTCAATTATCGATCGCTTCCATAAACGGTCAGATCTGAAAGACGAAAAGCGAAAATCGAACAATACAAGCACCTCAGGCAATAGCGAATCTCAGATCCCGCAAGAAGGACCGAATCGGAGAATCTACTTCAGCATTCCTATTCCGGAATCCGAACGAGACGAGGATGGTCATTTGCGCATCACGTACCCCAGAAACAAAATTCGCACTGCCAAGTATACACCGCTCACCTTTGTTCCCTACAACATCTGGCTACAATTTCACAACATTGCGAACATCTATTTCTTGTTCGTTATCATTCTTAATGTACGCAGTGATATCCTTATTTCCATGGCTTCCACCCCAATTGGCATTGGCTGATGATATTCTAGTGCTTTCCAATTTTCGGCGCCAACAACCCCGGTCTGAACGCCGTTCCTCTAATCGTTATTATCGTTGTGACCGCTATCAAAGATGCCATTGAGGATTGGGGGAGAACAGTGTCTGACAATCAAGTGAACAACTCTCCGGTTTACAGACTGGTTGAATGGAACAATGTCAATTCGACAGAAGACAACATTGATATATGGCGTCGTGTCAAGAAGGCTTGTACCAGGGGCTCGATCGCCTCATATAAGTGGGTTGTTTCTCAATTTAAGAAGAAAGAGAAAGAGGGGGATGATGACGAAGGGCAAAGACGCGGCTCATTCTTGAGTACAGCAGATCGCCGTTCCTCGATTTATACGCAGCGGAACTCCTTAGCCCCCGAAGATATCGCTATCCCCATGACCGATGTTCCATCGCCTCAGCCCGAAGCTCGCGAAGATTGGCCGATCGTGAGCAACCCTGAAAACAAGTATCTGTCTCCGAACAGCGCAGCTCGACAGAGCGTCGTTGAGCCAACGCCGGACAAGAAACATGGAACCATCCTGGACATGTCCAAGCAGACACCCGGCAAGGCCCGATTCAAGCGAGAGCAGTGGAAAAGTCTGCAAGTTGGCGACTTTGTCCGGTTGTACAACGAGGATCCTATCCCAGCCGATGTCGTGATTCTGTCCACTTCTGACCCGGATGGCGCATGTTATGTCGAAACAAAAGGCTTGGATGGAGAAACCAATTTGAAGGTTCGCCAAGCTCTTCACTGTGGCCATGAAGTTCGACACGCCAGAGACTGCGAAAAGGCCGAGTTTGTGATCGAAAGTGAGGCCCCACATGCCAACCTGTACACTTACAATGGTGCCATACGTTGGGACCAGCGCGATCCACGTTTCCCTGAAGCTCCCCGGAAGGAGATGGTTGAGCCCATCTCTATCAACAACATCTTGCTCCGTGGGTGCAATTTGAAGAGTACCGAATGGGTCCTAGGTGTTGTCCTCTTCACCGGTGGAGAGAGCAAGATCATGCTCAATTCCGGTGCGACTCCGGCAAAACGACCTCGCATGGCAAAGGATCTGAATTGGAACGTCATTTACAACTTTTTCATCCTATTCCTCATGTGTATTGTCGCAGGTATTGTGAATGGAATCGCATGGGCCAGGCCAGACAAATCTCTAGACTACTTTGATCTTGAGTCCTACGGAGGCACACCACCTGTCACTGGTATTGTCACCTTTTGGACCGCTCTCATCCTGTTCCAAAACTTGGTTCCCATTTCGCTTTATATTTCTCTTGAAATTGTTCGGACCATCCAAGCGCTTTTCATCAACAACGATCTGTTCATGTACTACGAGAGACTGGGGATCTATTGTGTCCCTAAGTCTTGGAACATTTCAGACGACGTCGGCCAAGTCGAGTACATTTTCTCTGACAAAACTGGTACATTGACTCAAAACCTGATGGAGTTCAAGAAGTGTACGGTCAACGGCCTGGCATATGGAGAGGCTTACACAGAAGCTCAGGTCGGCATGCGGCGTCGCGAGGGAGCTGATGCTGACGCAGAGGCCGCAGTGGCTCGACAACAAATTGCTGCCGATGCGCAGAAAATGTTGGGTCTGTTGCGTGGGATTCATGACAACCCTTACCTGCACGACGACCAACTGACGTTCGTTGCTCCGAATTTTGTGACCGACTTGACAGGACAATCCGGAGAGCGGCAGAAGCACTGTACAGAGGACTTCATGCTGGCTCTTGCCTTGTGTCATACCGTTATCACCGAGCACACTCCCGGCGACCCCCCTCAAATTGAGTTCAAGGCCCAGTCTCCCGACGAGGCAGCGTTGGTCAGCACTGCTCGAGATTGTGGATTCACCGTTCTGGGCCGAGCCGGTGACGATCTTCTCCTGAATGTTATGGGCGAGGAACGCACATATACAGTTTTGAACACCCTTGAATTCAACTCATCCAGAAAACGAATGAGTGCAATTATCCGAATGCCCGATGGTACTATACGCCTCTTTTGCAAGGGTGCGGACAGTGTAATTTACTCCCGTCTAGCCCGTGGCAAACAACAGGAGCTCCGCCGACAGACTGCAGAGCACTTGGAGGAGTTCGCTAGGGAAGGACTTCGGACTTTGTGCGTTGCCGATCGACTGCTTAGTGAGGATGAATACTACACATGGGCTAAGGAACACGATATCGCTGCCGCTGCGATCACAGACCGTGAGGAGAAACTAGAGATGGTTTCTAGTCAAATCGAACAGGAGCTCATGCTTATTGGTGGAACTGCCATTGAGGACAGACTTCAGGATGGTGTGCCCGATACAATCCAGCTTCTTGCGGACGCTGGTATCAAACTCTGGGTTCTTACCGGTGACAAGGTTGAGACCGCCATCAACATTGGGTTTTCTTGCAACCTACTCAATAACAACATGGAGCTGATTGTGCTGAACATTCCCGAGACTGAACACCAGCAGGCCTCTGACGAACTCGACAAGAATTTGCAAACTTTCGGATTGACCGGTTCTGACGAGGAACTTATTGCTGCTCGTGCTGATCATACACCACCCGAGGCTACACATGCCGTGGTCGTTGATGGTGAAACCCTCAAGCTGATGCTCTCCGATGACTTAAAGCAAAAATTCCTTCTACTCTGCAAGCAGTGCAAGGCCGTTCTTTGTTGCCGTGTCAGCCCCGCACAGAAAGCCGCCGTCGTGAACATGGTCAAGAACGGGCTGAACATCATGGCTCTTTCCGTTGGTGACGGTGCCAACGATGTGGCTATGATTCAAGAGGCCGACGTAGGTGTCGGTATTGCTGGCGAAGAAGGTAGACAAGCTGTCATGTCATCTGATTATGCAATTGGTCAGTTCCGGTACCTCCAGCGCCTTCTTTTAGTGCATGGGAGATGGTCTTACCGTCGCCTCGGAGAGTGCACGGCCAACTTCTTTTATAAGGTATGTGGAGTTGGTATTGACTATTATTCTGTATTACCACTGACTCCTCCCAGAATCTCGTGTGGACGTTCGCCCTTTTCTGGTACTGTATCTACAACGACTTCGATTGCTCCTACCTCTTCGACTATACCTACATTATCTTGGTCAACCTCGCTTTCACTTCATTGCCTGTAATCTTCATGGGTATCTTCGATCAGGATGTGGACGACAAGGTGTCTCTTGCTGTCCCTCAACTGTACATGAGAGGTATCGAGCGTAAGGAATGGTCGCAACTTAAGTTCTGGTACTTTGAATCCTCCCCCAAACTCTTGAGATGTTTCGAGACATACTAACTTGGACAGGTTATACATGGCCGATGGCATGTACCAGTCAATTATTTGTTTCTTCATGCCTTACCTCCTATTCGCGCCAGCAAACTTCGTCAACGAAACTGGACGCAATATCAATGACCGAGCCCGTATAGGAGTTCTAGTCGCGTCCTGTGCCGTGATTGCTAGTAATATCTACATTATGATGAATACTTACCGATGGGATTGGTTCACGTCTCTGATCAACGCCATCAGTAGTATTCTCATCTTTGTGTGGACCGGCATTTATACCTCCTTCACTTCCTCTGGTCAATTCTACCATTCCGCTGCTGAAGTTTACGGGTCATTGAGTTACTGGGTCGTCCTCCTGATGACTGTCGTGGTTTGCTTGCTTCCGCGTTTCACGTACAACTCCATTCAGAAGGTGTTCTTCCCGCTTGATGTTGATATCATCCGCGAGCAAGTGACTATGGGCAAATTCAAGTATCTGGAGGCCATAGAAGATCCCCCAATGCCCCCCCCAAAGAGGGAGGCCCGAAGGCCGTGGCTCCCAGTGATGAATCGGCCACCTCTTCGGAAATAGTGAAGCCAGTGCAGCCCGCCATCAAGCAGGACACTGATGAAGAGCGGCCCTTCTATGCTGCATCCGTGGCCCCGACCGCAAACACCCACAACCCCCGCAGTCAAAACAGCAGTAATGGGACCAACTACACCGCCAGTCTTGACCATGATCCGCGACCACAGTCCGTAGACTATGTTCGCCGATCTCCCGACCGGACACGGCATTCGTTTGACCGGAGTCGACCGAGCTTCGAGCAAAGCAACGACTTCACTTCCGCTGCCATGCTTTCTCGGGTGGAATCTTCGCAAACTCCACACCGTCAACATGAGGACCCATTCCGGACTTCTGACGATCCTCCTGTACATAATGTGATATAGAGGAGCGCATATTGCGTTGCATTGAGCCTGATGAACCGCCACTGATGACTTTACCCCCATCAGAGCTTCTGGTTCGTTCATTGTGATTTCTCCTCGCCATTCCTATTTGACGAGCAATATGCTGTGGTGTTTTATTTTATTTTTGAGAGCCTTTTATATTCCCTGATAGAAAGCAGGCGTTCTGGTTTGGTCGTTTACTCAGTCGGATGCTGAGGGCGATCTTCGTTTTTACCTCCCTCACTCTTACCCTGTCTCCAATGTTTTATTTTTATTTTTCCGATGCATGCCCTACACTCACTAAGCCTGTCTGGCCTATGGTATTTATCCCTTGTACAAAAGCGTTTCTGTCTCTGCAAAGTGCATGACACCCGCGTTTGAAGGTTTCCTGGTGTCTGGTTCCCATCTGGATGTTATATCTTGTTGGATGATCTTTTTGCGTTTGCGTTTGGTTCTTGTTCATGTGTTTTGTTTCTTTCCTCTATCAAAAGGACAAAGCCGGCATAGGGTTCTCATTCATGTATTCTATTCAATGCCTCCAGCGCGGAAATTACTTAATGTGGCAATTTAAGATTCCTACCTGCACTGTTATGTGTTTTCCAGGTGTAGCTGCCGAGGGAAATTTGCGCTACGTCGCAGTCTTAATTATAGTAGTGTCCTAGTTGGGTAAAATAGAGCGCGTCTACGCGTTGAGATCAATCTCACCGCCCAAATAATCTGCCAATGATACTTCGGCATCCGGCATTTGCTCTGGGGATTTTTGTTCGCCATCTTCTCCTTCTTGTTTGCTTTGGCTAAACATAAAGTCTCATTATTTGAGGCAGAAGGTGTTTTAAATCTTATCGCCGATCCACCGCCGCCTTTCCATCGCCGAAGTATCAGCATATCGTGGTCAAATACGGCACTCGGTTGCGAGGCCACTCCTCGCTGCTATCAACATCACTTTGTCCTTCACTTGAGCCTCCTGACACGTCATTTGATTATCTCATCGGCAGTTGAGTCAAAGGTCGTGGAATCACTTTCAGATCAGTGTTACTTCTCGACAAAACGATGTTCTAACTGCTCTGCCTATGGGATGAAGGAAATGCACCGAACTCTGTCATTTCGATATAACTACCTCACAATTCGAGACTACAATTGCCATGGAGTTTCTGGCTGCGATTAGGTAGGCCCAGAAAATCTTCCCAAGCAAACGAGCTGGAACTAACCAGATTGTGTGTTGTACAGAGAACTCAAGGCCCTCCCGGAGACCACCCACCTCTTCTGTCCCCGGAAAGACAACGATGATCATGGACGCTACGAAGATTTAGAGCAAGTGGATGAATCAGGAAAGGCCGTCAAGGATATCGTAGCTGAAGCAACGGCTCGAAGAGAGAGTTTTCTCTCGTCCATGCGCATCCTGGCATACCATAAGGATGGCGTGGAAGACGATCAGAACTGGATCCTGGGAAAACTAGACGAATCCCTGGAGAAATGTGATCTATGCATCAAGCATTATTACATCGGCAAAATCTGGCTCATGGACCTGCTCAAGGAGGAGAACTATCACGAAGATGATATTGAGGCGTTTGCCCAGAGAATCGACGAGTGGGACATTCGGAGAATCACTCGTAACTTGACAACCGCCACAACCCAGTTGAAACAAATCCCATTGGAGAAAATCAGCTTGGATGTCTTGGACAGGGCTGCATTGCTGTCAATCTTCGAGACCCTGAGCTGTGAAGCCATGCTGCGCAACGAAAGCCTTTTGCAGGAATATTTTGATGAGCCATTCAAACTCATTCAAACAAAGCGAAGCTTGAAAGTTTCAGATTATATTCCTGCAGTCTCTCGCTTTCTTTTTGATTCTAATCAATTCCGAAGCTTCTGGGCTGTTCAGTCATGGACAAGATACTCGCGGCCTCCTACTAATCAAGAATTTGAATGGGCAGTACGCGATGGCTTGCTGATGGGCCTACGGGCTGCGTCACAGCAGCCACCTCAATTCGCAGTCATTCAGAGGTTGTGGCGAGGTATGCAGCTTGTTGTCCGAAAGCTGGACAAAGAGCAGATTACACATCAGCTTCGAGGGTTGGAAATAGACCCTTGTCGTCTCTCCGTGGATCATCTCGCCATACCTGCGCCGAGCTTGCGATTCCTTCTCAACACCATCCAACTATTCCTCGAGAAAGCCCCGGTTGATTTCTGGGATGCTATGCAAACCATTTCTCCCCAGGCAATCATGGAACAGGCATTTTACAACACACAATTCAATGCTTTTCTCCTGGAAACCTCTGAGGGTGAGCCCTTTGAGAAATCCGCTTTGAAAGACATGCTCTCCTGGATCAATCCCTTCCTCGGCTCACTGAAGGGTGCTCACCAGCCGTCTGCCTGTCGGTTCTTGATATTGCAATTACTTGGCCGTCTTCAAGATACTCAATATCCCAATCTGTCACGCTATCACTGCTTTGACATTGGCTTGGCCAGTCTCCTTCAAACACTACGCCGCTTCACAGAAAATGAGTCTTCCCGGGGTACAGTTACTCGGATCGTATTGGCAGAGACAATGGGAGTGGTTGGTGATACAATCAACGCAATCATCAACCCCCCGACCTTTGATGTTGAGCGAAGTCGGCAGGATGGCATTCTCACGCAGTGCATGGAAGTTGTACGCAACACTTTGGCATTGGAGTGTCAATCGTTGAAGACCGATTATGAGGCACTTCTGAAGCACGGTACGCTCTCACATGGAGTATCTACCTACTCTGCACCCATCTGGGATGCTGTGATCAAGCACCTCCACCGGGATAACCTGCCGCTGTCAAGTTCGGCCCTCCTAGGAATCTTGCCCCTGGTTGGCTTGGAGATGTTTCCAACGAAAGGAGAAGGGAACAAGGAGAAGACCCACTTCAATATGATTTATGGCCATCTCACCAACCTCTCATGTCGAATCATCGAGCGTCTCGCGGACTTTCCACCCGAGCACCTTGAAACGTTGTTCCAAAGCCAGGATACTAGTAGCGCCATTATTTCGGCTCTGTTTGCCGCCGACTATGACACCTATACAGCTGCGGTTGACCTGATCAAGGCCGTCAGTGGCCAGTCAGCTCGACGAGATGCAATTTCTCACCTCCTCCAATCTTCGTTCACGACCACAATTTACGGACTCAGTTGGTCATTTCGTCGGATATCTCACATGAAGACTTTTGCACCCGCCCCAAGAATGCTATACACTGGTACAGACATCGTAGAGATATTATGTGACAGTCAAATCGGTATGCTGCGAACTCGTAATCTCGCTGATCGCCGGGAGGTTGTGTCGCTGCAGAAGCTTTGGGAGTATCTGTGGCTGGCATTGACCACGATCTTTGATGAGACCGAGGCATGGCATCTTCGGGGGAATGATAAGGCTGTCATGCTCGAGTTTTGCCGTGACACTATTCAGTTCGCCGACCTTCTTTTTGATCAATATGGTGTGTTCTTGGGAGCTGTAGGGAATGCGGACCCGGGGCAGACTTCTGCATCCGAAAATTTCCTCAAGTCACCAACAGCCACAATGAGTGCTATGGTAAAATGGCTTAGGTTGAAGGATGAGTTCTTGGCAACGACGCTCGTAGGGTTGGTGGCAAAACTTCTACGCAGATTGGGTGGGATGAATGTGACCACTGTGAAGCCAGATGCATTGAGCTTTATTGAGGGGGTGGCTGTCAATGGCACAATCAAAACAATACTCAATCAACGTGAGAAGGCAGAATTAGTCCGCTCATTGGAGGCTTACTATAAGAAACCTGTCGTCACTGCCTCAACTGCTGCTCTCAAGAAACAGTCTTCGATCACCGCTTTTGCCAAACCCTCTGCTTCCAGCCCCTCCTCTCGCATCACCAGTGACGATGACTTTGATGATGATAATTTGAACGACCAAACTCTTCTTGAGCTATCTTCTTCTGTCGAATTCAACAAGGCTCGCCTCGCAACCCAAGCCAAACGCGCAGCTGAAAAGGCCGCCAAAATGCACTCCTCAACGGCTCTCAAGAATCGTCCGGACATTTTCCCTCCGAGGATGTTTCCTAAGTCAGTTCCCCCTGTACGATCTAACAATGACCCCACCCACGTCCTATCTTTCCGTGAGAAGCGCGAACGAGAAAGGGAGGCCAAGAAGAAGCGTGATCAGATTGAGCTCGCCAGACTCAAGAAGAACACGACCGCATATGGTGTTGGGGAGCAAACAGCTGAACAAGGCTCTGGCCTGAAAGGTATTGGTATCAAGGGTAAAGATCATACAACCCCCGCAGATAGCATGATGGTTTCCTCTGGTGACGAGTCTGATTCTGAGAGCGAAGATGAATTAGACAAGGAACTCTTTGGTGCAAAACCGAAGAAACCCGACGCCGTCGCGGCCTACGAATTGAGCAAAAAACAATCCCTTCAACAGCAACCCATCAAAAAGGTCAAGCGCCATCGGTCTGTCAGGGACATGCGGGCTCGCCTGGCTCCAGATCTGAGTTCTCTTCACCGTTCAATCCTCTCCTGGGACTTTTTCGCAACCGGCGATCTTCCTCCTTCCTCGGATCGCACTGATTATTCCCTGGTCTCAAACACGTTCCGCACACCCGATGCCTACCAGAGTACATTCGAACCTTTGTTAATTCTTGAAGCGTGGCAAGGTTTTCAACAGGCGAAGGACGAAGGTTCTTTCCGACCCTTCGAAGTCAAAGTCATGACCCGATTGGCTGTCGACTCGTGGATCGAATTCAGCACCCAGCCGCTTGGTGTTCCTCCCAAGGATTTTAGCATGGGCGAAGGTGATTTGGTCATGTTCTCCAGCTCGCCCAAACTCACAAGCGACCCGAGTGCGCCCCATGTTCTCGCTCGTGTATGCGGTGTCAATCGAAAGAATAAAAAGATGGAGGTCACATATCGGGTCAATCCTGGGAGTAACAAGTTCCTGTCTTCTTTAGGGCCGGGAACTGAGGCATGGGGTGCCAAGATCACTTCTTTGATCCCAGTGGAGCGTGAATATGGTG